AAACTGGGGGTTTTCCACTCAGTATGGCCCTAGGAGACATCTTTATCTGGCTTAGAAATGATGGCTTTACCCAGCCATCTGCTTCCACGGGGACTGCACCAGGCATCCGCAGATAGGGAGGGGGGAGGTGAGGTTAGACATGCAAGCGCATATAAGCATGCGTGGAACTTGAGATTCACTTGTTGTGACTGTTAGTTTGATTCCACAAATGATGGTGTGGATTAAAATGGCAGCTTTTTGAAATGAGCAGCAACTGCTGGCCCGTGAAACAGTCTGAACATGTGTTCACCACGGTGAGTGGACTGCAGCTGTCGTGACACTAAATGCTCCTCCACCTGCTCCCAAAATAATGGGTCTAAGAGTTTGGACCAGAGAAAGGCATTACACTTGAATAGGACATGTCTATAGGGAAACAGGTGGTAGAGTTATATAATAACTATATGAAGTCTTTCTCTTTGTATTCTTGAATTGCTGACTGTTTGCTTGGTCTGCCTTTTATTTTGCATACACTGCATTCCTGTTGCAAAAGTCCATATGGTGGGTGGGGGTCTGACAGGTGCATCTGCTTCTAAGCTGGAGGGCAGGAGATGGTGTGTGCTGTGCTTTGTTTCTGCCAAACATCTGTCCTTTCGCCTGAAGCCCAGTGATATCCCAGCAAATACCACTGTTTGTTTTAATACGTAAACAAATAATTAAAAATTGCTCAGTGTCCATCTTGAAATATACATTTTGAAGTTACTTCACTATCAGCAGTGTGTCAGTGTACAACATATTCATGAATAAACCAAAAATAGTGACAGGCCGTTAGTGTTCTTCATACATTATGACTTGATGCCACCTCTTGTTGCTGACATCATCTCTCAGATATTTTTTTTTAAATAACAGAGAGATCAAGCTTTCCGAAGAATGCTCACGTTGTCTGTTGACCCGAGATCTCTGTTGTGAACTAAACACAAGTTACTTGCTTTCGTGAAACGGCTGAACTGAGCTCAGCACCTTCCAAAGGTTTCTGTGACAGTGACAGTGAGAAATGTTTGAGCATCAGCTGTTCTTTGCACCAATCAAATCTCATAGCGGTGTCTTTAGTTTCATCTAAACTGTTAAAATTCCTATTACATGACTTAGCGATACTTTTTTTTGAAGGCTTGTACTGTACACATGAGGTTGGCTTGTCATTTTTTATTATTACAACACGGTTCTCTCTCACCGGACCGGACTTTACAATGTCCTCGGGCCCTTCTTTGCTTCCAATTGTTAGCAATACACTTGAACATCAAGAAAACTTTACTGTGGATTTTTGTGAAATGAGATACAGTATTTGTAGACTTGAAACAAGCTGCACTAAATTCAGTGAATTAAATCCAGTTTAGTTGAGCGAAGCTGCAGAGGAACAGAATGAAAACCACTGAAGTGATAAGCCCACAGGGCAGTCATGAAAGTATTTGTCCTTGCTTTATCTGTAAACAGTATCACCCACAGGCGTAGTCGTGTTTAGGGCTAATCACTGGTTCAGTGTGACTTGTTTACTTTTATGGTCAAGTGAGGAATTTCTTATGTCATCAGGTGCCAGAGACTGTTTCTTTGTAGGCCTACAACAAGTCAGACTTGTGTAAATGTTCACCTCCAGATGCTTCACAGCCCCAAGATATGGCTGCTGGCATTAGCTGAGGATTTTTAGTCTGAGCCAAAGCAAATTTGGGATGTCTCTCATGTGTAGGCTACTGCTTTCAGGAAAGACCTAGGAATGATTCATTGCATTTACAAGCATTATAATTAGAATTTTGATTTTAAAATTTTATCATTCATAGAAAATTGTCAAAAGAAAACCATGAATCAAGCTACATCGGAGGTGAGATGTATTTATTTGTTATTATTATTTATTTCTTGATCTATAAGCCATTCAGATAGATTCATTAGTACGATCCCCCAATTTTAATAAAATGACACTGGCCTGTGGTTCCTTCCTGTCATCTCCAGTAAAGCATCAGACAGGAAGCTTGGTCAGACCCCATGGACATGGTAATGTGAGGAATGTGGCCATTTCCTCCTTTACAGGAAAACAAAAGGAGCTGCTGAAGTGCCTGTCCCACCTCACACAACAAGTCTGGCGCTCCCAGATCAAAGTCTGTATTGCGTTCATCCAGTCAGCCGAAGCCACGCCATTAACAAGTTCAAATGTCTGAGCTTATTAAATGCTGCTCCTGATGGTGACTGTGTTTTAAACCGCAAGATGAAACAACTGAAAGCCTTACAACTCCAGATGTGCTAAACACAGTGTGATGTGACAGTGTAAACTGTGCTGTTTGAGTCTTCAGTTCTTCCCTTGGGAAAGTGTACTGTACCAAAACACACCACTCATCATCCCTGCCTCTGCTGAGAAGCTGTCACCTGTGTGAAACAGCTCTCAGCAGAGATGTGGCACAAGTCAAAAGGTAACACCTTCTGAAATATTACCACTAAATATGATGCTACAGCTGATTAACTTCAAGACTGGAAGAAGTGAGTAATAGCTAACCTGGCTAGATGTTAGGTGGACTTTTTATTTATGACATTTATTATACTTCTGTACAGATAAGACTATGACATATGTTTATTATTGATCTTTAAAGATGGTAAAACCATAAATTTGAAGCTACAGCCAGAAGCTGTAAGGTACCATTATTAAAAAGAAACCTTTCATTTGATTTTTCAACTGTAATAAACTATTTCAGTAGAGACCAGAATAAAAAATATAATCCTGAAATTATGCATTAATATGTGTACTTTAAATATTTACTTAGTTTGGGCAGGAGTAATAAATACACTTGAATAATACTGAGCACTAGCTCTCACTAAATGATGTATGAGCTCAATTTCCACATTCAGATCTTTAACTAGGACCAGTTTGGAGTTATAAAAAAGAGTAATATGGTCTTGTAGCAGCAGCGTAAGCACACACTCACGTTGGCTATATTGTCAAACAGTGTTCGGACAGACAGAGCCAGAGTGCTACGGAGTTTCAGAAAATGACTTTCACATTACCATGACATGACTCTATTTGTCCTGAAAGTGCAATATTAATGACACCCTACTGGCTGCACGTCTTTGTATATTTTCTCTTCAACATATCAGTCAGCTATCTTGTTGACAGCGTCCACACCACAGGTATTGAGGGCACATTCTTCCACAGTGTAAATTTGAAACGTGTGAGTCATGTTACTCTGTGTGTAGGTGTCCTCTATGGCTGGAGATGACACGCTGAATGGCCATTACACTGAATGAACGTTGACCATTATTACAGATAATTCATTTTTGTTTTATAGTACCGTTTGATGGTATGAATTTAAATCTTATTTCACTTATATAAAATCTTTAAATGGCCAATTCAATACATCATGAAATACAATAATATAATAATAGTTTTTGTCAAGAGTACAGGAGGTAGCTTGTCTGGCTACAGGGTAATGTTATGTCTTGTTTGTATAATCTGTGGTTTTACAGGGGATTAATCCCAACATACTGTAACCTCCTGTAAAATCACATAGTTTTTACATTTCTAACCTTAGAAAAAGTGAATCAGCATTCCTTTAGAGAGCAAACTGCAGTCATGTACATGATAAAATCCAGTGAAATGGTACAACACAATATGATACGTTATATGGCTCAGATGAATCATGAAATGACAAAACCTCTTGATTCTTATCAGCTGTTGCAGCAATCAGCATTCTTTAGCTGGACTTCAACTGCCATGCAAATCAGCAGGTGGACGTTTGCCTGTGAGTGTTTGAGTAAAGTAACTGCAGGCTGTCTACTGACTGGCTGCACCACTTTAACAAGAGAACACTTGTTTACACACCACCACCACCACCACCGACATATTAGGATGATTCTTTTCATGCAAAAACAGGCTGCCTTCAGAAACATTACTGTCCAGAGCTACAGCCTGACCCCCACTGCCAGCTGATCCCAGGGTCTCCATCTACATGTGTGTGAGTAAAATGTATAGCTGGTGCTAGTGATGGAGGGGAGAACAGCAGATGGCATGGCTGCCCCCGTCATGTCTGCATTTTGGGGAGAACAATGCATCTCTTAGAGCTCTTATTAAAGCAGGGGAGGGGGTTTCAGTGCACGGACAGCTGGCAGGCAGCGTGCCTCACATCCACCCCTCTCCCTCCATGTCCACACACACATACTCTGCAATTAAATGGCACGGGCCACAGCTTAAATATTTACCAGGCACATGCAAACAAAAGGCTGTTCAAGAAATAATGATTAATCCACATCTCGGATATATAACAGCAGTTTTTAATCGCTGCCTCAGCGTGGAAGATTCAATGCCATTGTCTATTTTGTTCATTGAGTAATTGTTTCAGGGATTTAATTTTAAAAAAATGCATCAAACACTTTCTTTGTTCAGCTTCTCTCTTTTTTATCACAGCAAACTATATATCTTTGGGGTTTGGACTGTTGGATAGACAAAGCAAAGAGTTTGAGCAGCCACCTGGGATCTCTGGGAGTTTGAGTAGAACATTATTCACAATTTTCTGATATTTTATAGACTAAAATAATTAAAATCATCAACCCTAACCATATTTTGTGATGACAGATTGAGACTGTGTATGTAAGTAAGTGTGTGTTTTGTCAAACGTCATTTGTTATTTAAGATTTTCTGCATCCATTTTGATTTTCCCTGGATTGTCCTGTATGTTTCTATATCATTATTCTTCTTTTTTAAACAGAAATTCTTTTATTTCTGCAGGCCAGTCCAGTTATATTAATATAATATCCTTAAAATGTTTCTACATTTCAGACTTTGTGACAGTGAGGCTGAAATGTGTTATTGTCAGAGTTAACATCCCTACAGGCTGCAGGATGTGTAAAGCCTTAAAATTCCAAAACCCACACTATAACAAGAAACAAGCTCTTTTACATGACACAAGCAGCCAGCTGAGATGGTGTTCCTGCTCTGAATCCAGTTTTTGCTCTCACCCCTCACCCTCACCTTCTCCCCCTCCTCCTCCTCCTCTTCCTCCCCCGCATGCTTTGCTTTTGATCCCACAGGGACTTGGAGCCTTTACATTCCAGTCATTCCAGCCGCAGCGAACAATCAGCCCTCAGTTATTTATTAGTGCAGCTCTCGGCTTCAGCCTGCTCAGTCTGCTGCTGCCCGTCGGCGCGCACACACGTACACGGAGGAAAGACGCTCGGGAAACTTGTGGACATTGTTGAATTAAGCGCGAAACACAGAGACCTTACACCGCCACTGGAGTGTGATGAGGCGCCAATCTGGTAAGTTTCATGTTTAGTTTTCTAGGTTTCTCTGTGGCTCCGAGCCCGGCTCGTGTTTGGGCGCCTTTTAACTGACGTTGGCACGGATCTGTTGCGTGGCGTAGCACTGACTACTCGATTAATTGGCCTGTGTGAGCTTCCCTCTTTTGGTTAAAACTGAAACCTGGTGGAACACATAGGCTATATTCATTCATTGTTTATTTAGTTACATATTTCTTTATGCATTTCAGCGAAAATGATGACCCTGTCTGGACTGGATCCTAATGTCCACAGATAGCAGAAGTTTGAAAATACTGTAGGTTAGACTGGCTCACAAAATAGTTCTTTAAATGAGTTATGGGACTTTTTTATGTTACCTTTAGGTGCATATATTGGACAACGTATCATTGTGATTCATGTCCAATTTGGAAATTTGGTCTACTTGTTGTGTGAGACTGTGGGAGTGTTACTGTACAATTCTGTCTGACTGGAAAAAGTTGTGCTTTATAATGTGGGGGGAATAAGACTGGATTTGCACTGACATCACTGTCACTATTTCCAACAACGGCTTATACAGTTAAAGCTAATGTCACTGCACAATAAAGGGACTTGTGAAGTATAATTGAGAAAAACGTTTTAAGAGGCTTCTGGCTGTGGCTCACAACTGAAATAGAAACGAATAGAGCTGCAGAATCCTGACAAAATACTGAGTTGATTATATAATATGAAGTGTATCTCTGATTGAGACTGTTGTTTTTCCATCAGATCTGTGAAGGGCCCAAACTGCCACCTCCAGGTTTGGTTTTTTCCCTTTACTCATTTCCCACGGACTAAAATGAGAACTGCTGAAGACTCCTCTGGAACAGTCCTACACCGTCTCATCCAGGAACAACTCCGCTACGGGAACCTGACTGACACTCGCACACTTCTGGCTATCCAGCAGCAGGCCCTGCGTGGAGGTAGCAGCGGTGGGGGCACAGACAGTCCCCAGTCTTCTCTGGAGAGCCTGACTCAGGAGGAGCCCCAGTACATCCAGATGTCAACACGGCAGGATCCTCAAGGCCAAGAGCACCAGGGAGACTGCCTGCACTCTGAGAGCTCTTTATCCAAACTGTATCAGCTCTATGGAGAGGAGCTGCCCACTTATGAGGAGGCCAAAGCCCACTCCCAGTACCTGAACTCTCACAGGGAGCAGACAGAGCAGAAAGACCCCAGCATGGACATAATGGGCAGTTGCGGTGAGGGACAGTGGGATCTGAAGAGGGAGCACGCTCGTTCCCTTAGTGAGAGGCTTATGCAGCTTTCTCTGGAGAGGAACAGACCCAGGGACAGTCTGGCTTTGAGCTCCTCACACAGCTATCCACAGCTATATAATAATAATGTTCCAAATCCTGTGGCACCTGACAGGCAAGGGGCTGAACGGTGTGTAGACGAGCGTGAGCCGCCACCAGACTATCCTTTCTGTGCCATGCTCAGCCACTCACAGGAGCAAGGACAGTACTACAGAGACCCGCCTACCCCCTTCTACTCACAGCTTCACAGGTAACCTCAACAGATGGACTAATAATTTAGAGTATCAGATAAAATATGACCACATTAACAACTCCAGACAATGCTTTCATTCAATATTTTTTTGTGATGAATTACACATCTCCCTTCAGCAGATATGTGTGCACCCGGTCCCAGGTGACTCACAACAGCGTTGCCACAGCCTCCAGCAGTAACTCAGCTCAGCCCGATGTGTTGGTGCGGGAGAACGAGCGGCTCAGAAAGGAGCTGGAGGTCTACACCAAGAAGGCCGCCAGGCTGCAGAAGGTGAGCGATGTGGTTGACGCAATGAATTGAGCTGTTGGCTAATAAAGGGTGTGGAAACTGTAAAACAATAGTATTCTTGCCAGTACATGTCGGGGTAATAGGCATCTGGGAGGTACAGAATACGCACATAGACAAATCTCCAGACATTTGTCTTCAAAAACACCTGTTCATTCACAGATGTTAATTCCCAGTTCACTTGTGCATAGTGTTAAATTGCTATTTCCTGTTGGCATGTGTATAGATGACTAACTGGCCTCATTGATAGAAACAACTACAACATAAACCAAAAATCTGCACAGTAAAGGGTGATGCCTCTCCCGGAGACTCAGGTCTTTCTCACATTTTCTACCCAGTTGGAGCTGGAGATTCAGAGGATATCTGACGCTTACGAGACCATGATGAAAGGCTCTGCCAAACGGGAAGCTCTGGAGAAAACAATGCGGAACAAACTAGAGGCCGAGATCAAGAGGATGTATGACTTTAACAGAGACCTCAGAGGTAAATGTCCAAAACAACTCAGATAATGCACTGCCTGCTTTTATGTAGGTTGGTGTGTGCATGTGTAACCGTCATCTTTTTGTTTGTTTTCCTCTGTACAGAACAACTTGATAGCGCTATCAAACAGCGAGCAGCCAAAGATGCTGAGTGTACAGATCAGAAGCAGCACGTCTTTGCTAAGCTATTGGAGCAAAGTAAGTTCATGTCTGCGTTAGTTTCTTCTCATATCGTGGTTTGTGACAGAGAAGAGCAGGAAAACATCAGGATCTACAGTATTTGTTGATCTAATTTGACAAATCACATTGTTTTGTGAAGCACTTAGCAGGAACATAGATGAGCAGGGATCAGTTTCCTCCTTCAGTGATGTGGTGTGTCCCCTAATGGTGGGCACAAATGTCCTCATCTGCAATGTTAAGTTATTCTTGGCACTTAGACACCAGCCATTTTTCATAGCTGCAGTCAACATAGCCTGGATTCCAGGTTTTTTTGTTTTTTTTTTGTGATATTTCAGGCTGTTCCCACATTAGGAATGCATCCTCAAGGTGAACTAATAGGTTTGGACCCAGCTCAACATGACCCCCTGGCCACCTTGCTCTCCAGTTGTGAATATTTCTTTCCTCCTTTTTTGCTCTGTGCAGGGATGTGATGTAGAGTGAACCCAACAATTTTTATGCCTTTGGTCAAAGGTCAAAGTGTTTATTTGTCATATGCACAGTTAGGAAACGTGTTTCCCTCTACAATGAAATTCTTACTTTGCCGTCCACATGAATGCAACACAGTACAAGTGAAATATAAAGTAGATGAGCAATAACAAATCTGCAGTCTGCAGTTCCAGGTTGCAAGCGAGAGCAGACGTCTTTACTGCTCCTCTTGTCTGTTCTATGATTTTTCACATCTTCTACATTTTCAAGTCTTTGAACAAATTCTACAACTATTAAAATGCCTCCAAGAGGGAAAAGAGCTAATAAATCAGAAGCGAATGAGGATGTTAAAGCAGAAGAAGATTATATTTCAGCGGCGCAAGTAACAGAGATGTTGAGTCAGCAGAAGCAGATGTACACCGCACTGTTGAGCCAACAACAAGATAACTTCAAAGATTTTGTGCAACTACTTATGGAGACAAATAACAAGAGACTCGACAACATGACCAGAGAAATACAGGAGATAAAAACGAGTTTGCAGTTTACCCAGCGAGATGTGGATGTGATTAAAGCAGCCATGGGTGAACAGAAAATACAAACCAAGGAAACAAAGGATGATGTCTACAAAACTTGTGAGAGTCTAATAGCCATAACGAATAAAATGGAGCATTTGGAAGTACAGTCCAAGCGAAAAAACCTGATCAAGGAGTCAGCTGGAGAAAGCTGGAAGACTGGTATAAACCACATTGGTTCTGCATAGACATTCTAGAACATGCGTACACCTAACTTTTTGAGCTTTGGGTCATGTCTAAGATGATAATTCACCATTTTCACATTGCAGATAAATCAGAAAGCAAGGAAAGGCCCCCTGGGCTCTTTAAAGAACTTGAAGACATTGTCCTTGGCCTTAGGTGAAAACAATATTGAAGATGTCTGGTGTTTCAGTAAAATCCTAAAATAAAACATATAAATGTGAGGATGTCTACATTGTCTGGGCAGAGGATTGACCTCTTTGCAGTCAGGGATTCCACTCCTGCTGGTTTAGAGGTGAAATGAGGACTAAGGCTGGTTCACTATGAGCCAAGCAGCAGAGATGTCACATTTCTACAGTTTGTGTTCTGCCTGTTCAACGGCTGTTTCCAAAGCTGCTCCTGCACTCTCCCTGACTGATTGATTAGGTTCCACCATGATTACAGAGCACCGTGAATGCTGACTTGAGGCTCTCCATTCACCTGATTGTGTGTTTGAGTGAGAGAGAGAGAGAGCTATAGACATGGAAAAACAAAGTACAACCACGGTATCAGACTGTCAAATTCTCTTTAGGTTCCCGATGAGGGAAAAGCCAAAGTTCCCTGCTGTGCACAACAACATCTTGCTCTTGTTAGAAACGGAAGTGCCAGGCACAACGAGGTAGTGTCTTATTGGCAATTAATGCGTGGTTTACATGTGTGGTGGACCATGAGGGGGATCTGTACAGATCAGAGATCAGCTATGATCTGTTACACCAGATGATATGTTAAATGATATGTTTGTATATTTTCTAACCAGCTTCCCTTGTACAAATAGAGAACCTATTATTTTGAGCAAAGATGTTTCTGTTCTACGAGCTAATTTGTGTCAAGTTTACTGTGGCCTTAAAAGGACCCTTTTCTATTAAAGGAACACACTTCTCTGAGGAAAAACATTTAAAAAGGTTGAAATCTCTGTAACAGAGGTCGAGCTACCGACCAACTCGGTCTGTGTTATGGTTCAAGCTCCACAATCTATGGATCCCCACCCCATGCCCCTCGGGCTGTCACAGAACTGACTTGGTCAAACCTCAGGTGGTTTATGAGCCACAGACATGCTCCAAATACAGTGGTGTGACAAAGTGTTTGCCCCCTTACTGATTTCTTATCTTTTTGCATGTTTGTCACACTGTAATGTTTCAGATCATCAAACAAATTTAAATATTAGTCAACGATAACACAAGTAAACACATCATGCAGTTTTTAAATGAAGGTTTTTATTATTAAGGGAAAACAAAATCCAAAACTATATAGCCCTGTGTGAACAAGTGTTTGCCCCCCTGTCAAAACACTGGTTTATCGCACCTGAGTTCAATTTCTCTAGCCACACCCAGGCCTGATTACTGCCACACCTGTTCGCAATCAAGAAATCACTTAAATAGGACCTGCCTGACAAAGTGAAGTAGACCAAAAGATCCTCAAAAGCTAGACATCATGCCGAGATCCAAAGAAATTCAAAACCAAATGAGAAAGAGAATAATTGAGCTCTATCAGTTTGGAAAAGGTTATAAAGCCATTTCTAAAGCTTTGGGACTGCAGCGAACCACAGTGAGAGCCATTATCCACAAATGGCGAAAACATGGAACAGTGGAGAACCTTCCCAGGAGTGGCCGGCCGACCAAAATTACCCCAAGAGCGCAGCGACAACTCATCCAAGAGGTCACAAAAGACCCCACAACAACATCCAAAGAACTGCAGGCCTCACTTGCCTCAGTTAAGGTGAGTGTTCATGACTCCACCATAAGAAAGAGACTGGGCAAAAATGGTTTGCATGGCAGAGTTCCAAGACGAAAACCACTGCTGAGCCAAAACAACATAAAGGGTCGTCTCAGTTTTGCCAGAAAACATCTTGATGATCCCCAAGACTTTTGGGATAATACTCTGTGGACAGACGAGACAAAAGTTGAACTTTTTGGAAGGTGTGTGTCCCTTTATGTGTGGCGTAAAAGTAACACCGCATTTCAGAAAAAGAACATCATACCAACAGTAAAATATGGTGGTGGTAGTGGGATGGTCTGGGGCTGTTTTGCTGCTTCAGGCCCTGGAAGACATGCTGTGATAAATGGAACCCTGAATTCTGCTGTGTACCAAAATATCCTGAAGGAGAATGTCCGGCCATCCGTTTGTGCCCTCAAGCTGAAGCGAACTTGGGTTCTGCAGCAGGACAATGATCCAAAGCACATCAGCAAGTCCACTTCTGAATGGCTGAAGAAAAACAACATGAAGACTTTGGAGTGGCCTAGTCAAAGTCCTGACCTGAATCCAATTGAGATGCTGTGGCATGACCTTAAAAAGGCAGTTCATGCCCGAAAACCTTCCAATGTGGCTGACTTACAACAATTCTGCCAAGATGAGTGGGCCAAAATTCCTCCACAGCGCTGTGGCAGACTCATGGCAAGTTATCGAAAACGCTTGATTGCAGTTGTTGCTGCTAAGGGTGGCCCAACCAGTTATTCGGTTTAGGGGGCAAACACTTATTCACACAGGGCTTTGTAGTTTTGGATTTTGTTTTCCCTTAATAATAAAAACCTTCATTTAAAAACTGCATGATGTGTTTACTTGTGTTATCGTTGACTAATATTTAAATTTGTTTGATGATCTGAAACATTACAGTGTGACAAACATGCAAAAAGATAAGAAATCAGTAAGGGGGCAAACACTTTTTCACACCACTGTATATGCAAGAACAGGCTCAATGATTAATTAGATGGAACATTGTGGGTGTGGTGTATGAATGTTAACACTATGTAATAATTCTTTAGTATATTACTTGCGTGGCGTAGAAGAGAATTATTTAAGAATGTAATTATGTAAGAATGTTAACACTCTGTCATAATTCTTTAGTATATTACTTGTGTGGTGTAGAAGATAATTATCTATGTAGAGATACTGCTTGCAAACCAATGATGTAAGATGATGTCATGGGGTAGGACTGGATAAGTCTGACTTCTTCCTACTCCATTCAAACATGTACTAGGTATAAGCAAATTGATACTGGATTAGCATTTGTTGGATATGTGTGAAATTATGTGTGTTGACATATCAACTGTCTTTACATGCTTGAAAGAATAAATCAAATCAAAATCAAATCAAATCTACATAGGCAGCAACACAAATCTAAATCTAATCTTTGATAGACATTTATGACAGTGAGGAGGATTAGTTTGTTTCCTCAATCTTCTCAGTCAGGTATAGTTATGTAATATTACATCAGCCTTGCCTGTTATACATTATCCTGCTGGGATGACTTTTCTAGGTATTTTAAATCTTTCAACCAGATTGAAAATATGGTCAGTTATTTTTTTTAAAACAGCCATCTTGGCAAAGCAGTAGCAAAACCAAATGTAAAATACCACAGGGGGGGGTGTAGTTTATACAGTAGTTTGTTTGTTTTTTTTGTCTTTTGTTACAAGGAACATTTGGATTATATTTTGAGCAGCTTGTTTACTTCTTGTCATTAGAAGCATTCCACAGCTTTTCCCAGCACAAAGCTATGCCTGTGCGCATAAGTGGATAAGAGGAAGTCTGCATTCCCTCCACAGCCATGCACTCATGTTGTGTAATCAACACTCTTTTAAAGTGCACAGTAAATAAACTGACTTTGCTTTTTAACTGTTTTTATTTAGTATAAAACTGGGTATAGCCCTGTGTGATTCATTTGTAGTTTAGAAGACATGGTCCATTGTAGAACTACATAGCCTTATGGCTACATAGAAACATGGCCACATTCCGTTCAATGTGTGATTCCCCTAGTGGCTGCTTACATAGCTGTTTGGCTGACCACACCAGTGGCCACTGCGTTGTCTTGACAGTGGCATTCCACTGATCTAGGACTTTCAGGATTGTGTCACTGTACTTTTACCACCACTCACTTGTATTTCCTCCTCTCTGTATTTCAGATGAAGAGCAGCAGCGTGAACGTGACCGTCTGGAGAGGCAGATTCAGCATTTGCGTGTCACTGGGGAGGAGTGCCAGCGGATGCGGGAGCTGGTGGAGCAGGCTCTGACCTCAGCGCAGGCCCGCAACCAGCAGCTAGAAGAAGAACTGCAGAGGAAGAGAGCCTATGTAGAGAAAGTGGAGCGGCTACAAAGTGCGCTAGCTCAGCTGCAGGCAGCATGTGAGAAGAGGGAAGTGCTTGAGCTAAGGCTGCGCACACGACTTGAGCAGGAACTGAGAAGCCTGAGGGCGCAACAGGTGAGAATATGTCACTAGACATGTTTCCTTTTTATATGTGCAGCTTAAAAGTCTTGACATTCTGGGAAATGTGATTATCTGCATTCTTGTCCAGAATGAGATGAGAAGATTGATATGACTCATGTCTATACACAAAATAAGAAGCTAGAGGTGGAGGTCATTTAGCATAAAGACTGGAAGCAGAGGGAAAAGGCTAACCTGGCTCTGTCCTGCCAGCACCTTTAAAGTTCACTAACACAAAATCTTAAGCTAAGAGAACCCGCTGTTGCCATGCAGCTTCATATTTACCATACAGATATGAGAGTGATAGTAATCTTCTTAACTAACTCAGCAAGAAAACAATGAAGCATATTCAGCATTTTTGTTTACCACTTGTGTCCATTATGTCAGTCACATAATCAGGCAGCTGACACCACAGCTTCAGAACTGAGTTCATCCACACTGCAGCAGCAGCTGAGGGAGAGAGAGGAGCATATTCTAGCCCTGGAGGCCGACATTACCAAGTGGGAGCAAAAGTACCTGGAGGAGAGCACCATGAGGCAGTTTGCAATGGATGCAGCTGCCACTGCTGCAGCACAGAGGTATGATGGAACATGTATAAATGTAGTCAAGGTTTTAAAAAATGCATTAAATACAAATGTACTGAAATTGGAGAATCACATATTTCAAATGTTCTCTTTCCTTTTCAGAGATACAACTATAATTAATCATTCACCTCGACATTCACCACACAGCAGTTTTAATGAAGACCTGCCTTTGTCGAGTCACAGACATCAGGAGATGGAGAACAGGTACATGTCTTTCAATGGCCTTGTTAAGGCCTTCTTAGACACAGTAGCAGTCTATGCCTGCTGCTTGGGGGTCTGTGAGTTCATGATTTATTCCCTGTGTTCAGGATCCGGGCACTTCACGCACAGCTTCTGGAGAAGGACGCTATGATCAAAGTCCTCCAGCAGCGCTCCAAATGGGAGCAGGGCAAGCTGGAGAGGGGGCTTCGCCTGGCCAGGTCCGTCCCCTCCATCAACATTGTTTCCAGCAGCATGAAGAGTAAAGGTGGGTTTTTGTCACAACTCTCCATGTACACTAAAGAATTTTGGCTCTGTATTGACACATGCTATGAAACAACAACTGGCAGACTGGACCATGTCGCCGGACAGTATGTACACTTTCTAAAAAAAAAACAGTGGGGAGCAGGAGACTCCCAATTAGACAATCTGTTTTTAAACTGGAATGCATATCATTTCTCAGTCCAGAATATTCTGATCCAGAATAGTCATGGGAAGAACTCCACAGAGCAGATGTTCAAGGGTGTGTATATGTGGATGTGAGCGAGCAATTAAGCTCCTCTCTTTGTTTGCATTTGTAGGTATGAACCTCTCAGATGACCAAACAGGTGCTGCTGCACTCCAGCCCCAACCCTGTGCAGCACCCAGGGTCCTGAGCCGAGACTCCAGCACCCAAAGTGACGAAGCCTTGCAGGAGCCTGAGCTCAGGACAGAGCAGGGCAAACTGAAGACATCAGAGACGATCACGGCAACTACCACTAGTGAGTTTATTGTTTTGTTAAGCATCTGACATCCAGTCATAATCACGCAAACTACTTTTCTTTTATTTTAAGTCAGTCCGTAGATCGCTACTTAAAGTATTTTGAGTGTAGCAAGACCATGGATCAGGACTGGGGCTAGGTAACATTCCAAACATTTTGATGCCAGTGCTGATACAAAACCTTGGCTTCGATACTTTCTCAGTACCAATTTTATAAAATCCATTTTAAGGAAAAAAAAACATACATTACACATTTGGGTATAGATCATTAGTGTTATTTTTCAATTCCTTTGCATTTTTGTCCACTAAAAGCAGCTTCATAACATAAAAACTCTACATATTTACCACAAGCTTAAGTTCCGTTAACATTAACATCAATAAATAAAAATGTAGAAAAGCATTTTTCAGTACTTGATCGTATTGTTGTAACTTAATCAGTGCCATAAAAGTGTCGAAGTTCGATACCCAGCGCTAATCAGGACAGACCAAGGATGTAACGTTGATAGCAGATAGTTAACCCTTTGTTTGTAAAATCAAACAAGGTTGTTTGCAACTTTTCAAATAGCCAGCACTGCAGTTGGCTTTGCTTTAGCAAACCACTGTTGTTTTTCTAATCTGCTAATTTTATCTTCACTGTAGGTACCTCGGAGGGGCCAAAGGCTCCACTCCAGACATTTAACAACATCAACAGCTCAAGTGCAGAAGTGGTTGAAGTTCTCATCTGAGTGCTTGCTAAAACTTGGAAGACTGATCAGAGACAGAGACTTGTGGCCATGGTGTTCAAAGCCTTCCTCAATTTTGGATCACAAGGAAGGTCAACAGGCAGAGTCCAGAATGTGGCAACATTTGATAAGGAGAGCTGAGCTTTCTCATCTGCTGTTTCCTCACAAATGACAAACTCTGACATTTGCCTCACAATTCAGAACAGTTCTAGGTACCTGGAGAGTATTTTGCATCATTATAGGAACTAGGCTGCTGATTGTACATATGCAGTGCATAGGAATGTTGTGCTTTGTATTTATAATATATTGTAAATGATTCTGAATTTGTGAGATATGTTTGAGAGCTGAGAAGAACAAGGATTGCTCGTCTTGCTCTACTCCAAGTTTTTAAGTTATATACAAATGACTCACTTTCTGGAATTTGTGTGCAACCTGTCTACGCTTTGTTTCCACTAGCATGCCTATTACCATGGGAATATTTATAAAATGACTCAGTATAAGCATCATCTGTGTTTTCATACCATGCTTGTTCTGTTTAACAGAACTACTCAAACCTAAATGAACAGTTGCTCCTCTCTTTAAATACACTCAGGCCTGCACACAGCTCAACAGGGGATTTAGAAACTTCCTCTTACATGCAGAGCCTTCTCTCTTTAAAAAGCCTGTGAGGATTAATATGTTTCAGGGGAGTCTAATTTTCTAGGTTAATGTTTGGGGCCTCAGATGGCATTTTGCTACCCTCCGCTGACACACTGGGGCTAATCTCACATTCCTCACTGGGGGAATGCTACCGTTAAAAAAAAAAGGCTATCTAAAGTCTGACCCCCTCACCCTTGTTAAAATGGCAGGCATTCTCCACATGATTCCTTTTCTGGGGCTGGTTATTTCTTCTGCGCTGTGGTAGCTGGTTCTACCATGAGCATAGAAATGGACAACTATAATTGGCCTGCATTTGCTGCTCTGTTTGTTGTCCCCATCACTGTGTTATATTCAGCTGTGTTTTCTCCATTGATTAAGTATCTCACATTTCTGAGTGGACCATATCTTTAACTTGGTGTCTTCTACTTATTTCTGGCTGTAGAGTGTAGGATCACTAAACATTGCTGAATGTAGACTTTTGGTTTCCAGGAATGAATGTTGTATGTAACTGGAATGTGCCATAATTAAGATATACTTAAAAATGCCATTACAGTTCTGCTCTTCAGGGGGGAGCATGGCTACAATTCAACATCATTGGATTTCTGAAGAAGCTAATATATTATCATCCAGTTTTGCTAGTACTGATATTCTTTATTTTTAGGAGTCACAAACTCTAGCTCCTTCTTGACAACATTACAAGCAGGAGTGCCGACTGAAGTCCTACAAATAGCATATGAAATGTCACATTCAACTGGTATTCTCCAGCTTTTTCATCTTATTTCACGGTGCATTTGCTGGTCAGTGCAATGTGTCAGTTTGAATTATTGCCCTTCACTATTTTTGGAATGCGTTTACTTGAATGGCTGTTTGAAGTGAGAGAATTTAATATATTTTGTAGTTTTTTTTCATTTATATTTGTGTGTTGGTGCCAAAGATGGACTCTACTTTTAAATTATAACCAACAGTGAATACAAAAGGTTCTGTTAAGGTACCTTGCTTCAGCTGGTTGACCTATTTTGTTGTTGCTGTGAACTATGGTAAAGGAAACATTTTATGTATGCCTTAACATTTCACAAAAATAAATTAAAAGTCTAACTACATGTCTGACAAATGACTTTGTTTGAATTTTTTTTTACATAAAAATGTAAGTCTTACACCAAGACATGGATTTATGGGGAAATCAGCCAAACTATTTGGTAGTTACTGTTAAGAATGATCAGAAAGATATTACATTTATGTACTGGACCTTATATTTAAAGAAAATCTATGTAAGTTTGTGTTAACACATGATACAGAATCTCCCTCCGGAGCTGATAGAGACCAAGTCATGAAAACAGCAATGTGACTAGAAACACGACCAGGGGCATTTGTAGACATCCAGCTCTACTGGGCCACAGGCCCCCCATTACTCAAGTCACGCTTTTTTTCCTTGAATGTTTACTGCAGCTCTGGCTTCCTCCCACTGTCCAAAGACATGCAGCTTAGGTTGACTGGTGACTCTAAAATTGCCCCCAGGAGTGAGTGTGGGTGTGTGTGGTTGTTTGTCTACATGTGAGCCCTGTGACAGACTGGCAACCTGTCCAGGGTGGACCCCACCTCTCACCCAGTGTCAGCTGGGATTGGGTCCAGTCCCCCCGTGGATGGATGGAGTTGCCCACTATTCCACTGCTGTACTGCTGCTACTACAACAACTACTGGTAAAGATAAAATGTAGAAATATTCATATTTATGAAAATATTTATTTCAACATACATTAAGGACATTCCCATGCCATGATTTATGGCATAAACGTCTGGCCCTGTACTGCACATTTCTTTACAACTAAATTGATTGTCAAGCAGCCCCAGTTTGATTTGTCAAATTTAAGCTTTCACAACAAATTAATCTATCAACAAATAATTCATTTAAAGAAAACACAATCTTTTTATAACTCATAACGCCATATAACATACTCATGCTCCAATTATTTTGAAATTGTATTGCGCAGTTGATGGCTGGTGGTCACACATCTGTCTCCATAGACACAGACAGCATCCTCCACATTTTCCCTTCCTGCCTCAGGTTCACTAGTTTATTACAAAAAGCATAAAACAAACAATATTTGGACTGTGTGACAAGAGCATCAATTATGTTCTAGACTAGTCATTAAATGCAGAATGAATAGTCCAATGCTAACGTAGATAGGTTTTAAGAGCAGTCCACCTGGTCATATCCATTGATGTACAGAGCTCTAATTTACTTCACATTCAACATTCGCGCCTGGTTATGTATTGTACTAGTTAACTAAACTAACGTTACCTTGTTGCCAACTACAGCCAGGTCTTACCTCTCTCACCCTCATCTCTCTGAACCTCTTCCCTGTCTCGGCCTCCTCTAAAGCATTTTCTTATGTCCATCTACAGGAGTCAGTAGTGTCTGAGGCAAAATAAGATCATTGGTATTATTCAAAACCCTAAATTTTCCCCATCACATACCTCAGTTTATTCCTTTCTTTTGTTTTGTGTGCAATACATGGATGTGTGCACTATGCAGTGCTTTAGCTACAAAATGCATGCATATGTGCACACTGTGGCCTATGGACCCGTACCACTGCTGCTTTGACATTCTAGATCAGAACAACAAATCAAATCTTTCCCCATTGTTATTAATCTAAATTGATCCACTTTCATATACAAGAGCTTGTTAAAACTTGAACCTGTGCTCTTACTGGGGCACATGCCCCAGTAAAAGGGGTCTAGTGATGCCTATGAGCCAAACTAATACTAATTCTGCTTTGTGTCTGTTTTCTGTAAATAGTCAGCGGTTTGCCAATGTGTTTGCCACAGTTTTGTAACATAATAGCATGCTGAAAAAATCAATTACTACTGCTTTGAATTATCTTTGTCAGAGCTCCTTCATTTTATCATTGGGGGTTTGGCAGTTTCAAAATTTCTAAAACAGCTATAGTGTGAATGAACAGCAGGATAAAAAAAAACATTTCCTAGTTGACATCCGAAAATAATTTTAGAGTAAGAAGCTCAGGTGTGTGTGGAACCCATTATCTTTATCTCTGTCTTTAAAACTTATTGCCAGTGGAGAACATTAACAGTTTATATTGCTGATGTATAACCTTGGCACCATCTGTAAAAACACAATCACATCTGAGTTACACATCATAAATTCCAGACAGTCGTTCAGAGGGATGGTTTCAATGTCCAGAAATCCAGAGTTCAGTCTTTTTAATGTTCAAAGATTTTTTAACTGAATACTCAGGTCAGTTGTTTCTGGGTTTTACCATGAGCTTTGAGGTACTTATACTTTACCTGAGTATTTTCATCTCCCACTACTTTACACTTCTACTCTATTACATCTCAAACTGAAACATTGTACTGTTTAATGCATTACATTTTGTTGACCGCTTTAGTTACAAGTTACTTTACCAGTTAAGATTTGCACACAAAACATACAACAAGCTTATAAAATATTTTGTTATAGATTAAAGTGAAATGATGAAATGATTTATCAATTAGTCAGTCAACAGAAAATTTAAACGGCTTTAATAACTATTTAATGAAGCATTTGTAATTGTACCACTTCATGGTCAAAGCTTATCAGAAGTGAAGATTTGCTGCTTTTCCCCGTCTTGAACTAAAGATCTGCCTGAACAAAACTATCTGAGCTCATTGTGACAACATTTCTCACCATTTTCTTAAGTTTTTAAGCCAAACAACTGAACGATTAATCAAGACAGAAGTCATTTGCTGCATCCTTATTTAAAATAATTAAAAATCAATTGCACCTTAGCTCCTGGTGTTATACTTTATGTACATTTTCCTGATTATATTTGGATACTTTAACTTGAGTATCATTTCAGCACAGGACTATTACTTGTAACGGAGAGTTCTGACAGAGTGGTATTGCTATTTTTTCTTAAATAAAAGACATGAGTACTTCTTCTACCACTGCATATAAAAATGTAAACCCAGATAATGTTAAGTCTGAATCACCCCTGTACAGGTTGAAAATCTAATTCTCTGTTACTATGTTATTTTTAGTATATGTGTGTATTTTCTGTCATGTAAATTTCCAGTGTATCAGGATAATAATCACTTTATTTGGCCAAGTATGTTACACAACAGGAATTTGTTTCCGGTACAGAGCCGAGGAAGCCGTCTGCAGCATCAGCGCACAGGTTCAGTGTCTTGCCCAAGGACACTTCAACATGTGGACTGCAGACACCGAGATTTGAACCACCAACCCTCTGGGTGGGAGACAACTGCGCTACCCACTGAACCACAGTCTTAATAACAAGCCATGTAGCCCTAACATGCTAAATTTCTTCTATAGACTTGTATTGTATTTTTGCCTTCCTTGTCCCTTCCTAGCTGAAAATGGTATTCCATAGATGCCTGACATTTTCCTCCTGCTCCCTTTACATCTTCTAGCCATGTGCCACTTTCTGCAGGTCAGAAAACCTGTAGTAATAAGTCACTTTTTACAGCATACATAGCACTGTGTGATTTACCATTCTTTTGGACCCATTTGTATTCAGACAGCTCACATTTCAGTATTTCATCCCACCTCTAATGTTAGTGCTTATATTCCAAAACAAGAGCCCCCACCAAACAGTGAGTGATGTTAGGGGGTTCTGCAGGTGAAAGGGTATGATTACCTGATTCCAGGCAGTGCTAAGTTTCAACAACATCTCAGACTGAGATTTATTCCTAGGGACACTCAAGTGCCCCAAACTCATCATCATCCAGCAAGGATGAAGAAAAAGTCACTCCTGTGATGCATTCCACACACACCCGGACTCATGCAGGAACGACTGGGATTGTTGTTGGGACTGTTGTATTTATCACTCCCAGTGACTATGAATGGTTAT